CCTGCGGAGCTGTCTGCTGTCCCACATTCTTCACCAAGACCTTCCAGGCAATCAGGGAGGAAACAGGGTGCTTTTGAGTTTAACAGGGTGTCTTTTTTCTGTCTTTCATCTCTGTGCCACTTACTACTGGTGTGACTGGACTGACACTAATATAATGGCCAGTCTTCGCGAGCAAAGATCCGGGGAAGGTCTTTCCACCTTCCAGCCTGCGCATTGGATTTTTTAGGTGAGACACAGTGTGCGCGGAACTGACCCACCCTTTAATCCTAAGGTTCATCTGCCGGGGCCAAGCGAGCTTGGACGGTGGCAGCGAGGTCCTTAGGACGTAGGTGGGTTGCCTTTAAGGGCTAACGAGCCCCACCTGCCCGGGAGTGGCCCTGACCGGGAATCGAACCCGGGTCTCCGCGGTGATAGCGCCGCGCCCTTAACCACTAGACCACCAGGGGCTCCGAACTGACACTAAACCAGTATGTTTTGACACTACACCAGCCTGCTTCTGCTCCTTGATGCCCATTTGCCCTTCCTGGCCCTAAAGTCTTTGGATGCCTGCATCAGGAAACACTTTTTAAGCCCTGGCAGGCTAACTTACCTAAGAAAGGACTCTTAGAATTGAAAAGCCCTAGCTTAAAAGAATTGATGTTGCAAGAGAATTTCCACTTCATGTCCACATAAATAAGACTATTAAAATATGCTGTCCATGCTGACCATGTGTCTTGGGATATTCTGCTGCCTCAAGAGAGACAGATCAGATAAGATCAGTTCCGGAAATGTTAAGTGTGTGTAAGCAAATTTCTATTTTCTCCTAACATACATCTCATATTTCAGACTGTACCTCCCACTGTATTCCAGCATGCTCTCCTAATAAATGCCAAATTGTCAGGATCTACTCTTATAAATTAGATTAGTTGAAAAATTCCTTGGCCGGATTGTCCAGCATTCTTAAAGTTTCACTACAAGCCTTGTCCGGGCATTACTCTGACAAAGATGGGGAGAGGCTCTGCCTGGCTGTAAGTACAATTCTGGATACTAGGCACCCACTCTCCCAACCCTCACAACCAGAAATATCTCCTCTGAGAGGTGGATAATTTATGTATTTCACCTGAAGTAGCACCTTCCAGGAATGGTATCAACAAAGGCTATGTCTGTAAGATATGTAAAACTCTCAACATGATGGTTTTCTTATATACACCCTATGGCAAGCAAACTTTCCAAACTGCCAGGGAAAACATATACCTTGTATATTTCTCCAATAACAGTGAAAAGAGAAGTTACTTTAAGCCTGAAGAACATAAAATGAGCAGGAATGTAACTGCAATAAAAAATACCTGTTGTAGGCTGTTTATGGTCATTAATGTACTAACTTTATTTAAATTCCAAAAGCTGCAAAATCCTAATGCTAACAGTAAAGCAAGACCATAGCAGGTAGAGAAAAACACCTTCATCAGAAAGACAGCAAAGAAAAGAAAAAGGAAGGACATGGAGCAGTTTACTTTTTCACCTTGGCAAGTTTTCCTTTTTCTGCAAAATCAATCAATCGCCACTTCCCTGCTACTCCTTAAAACACGGAATGTGTGCAAGAGCCTCACAGCACTCCCTTCCAGCCTGGGGCACAGCAGCAGGAGAGACATTCTCCTCTCTGGCTCATTAATCTCTGGAGTTAGGAATACATATATATATCCTTTTCCCACCACATCTGGTCTGCCTTGAGGTGACCATTTATGGTACAACAGATCAGGGGATTCTTGCCCAGTGCTGCAGATCTTTTCACAGAAGACAGAACAAGAAACACTGTCAGACACTCCAGAAGTAGCTGTGCTTTCTAAATTGTTTAATCAATACATACTATAGATGGTAGCTTTAAAATAATAATACAGTTTAATACAAAGGGGCTGAATGGGCCCAGGACTCATCGTGCCTCAACATATTTAAAACAAACAAACAAAAAACCCCACTGTCTCATCTGCATGGCTTACAGAAAGCAGAATCGTAATTCTGACACTGGTACTTATTTTCTTTGTCCAAGATTTGATTTTTCCAAAGTTATCCTCTAGTATTGAGGACTAGGTCTATCATGCATTGTATCAGCTCCAAATTCTCCTATTTCTGCTTTAGCTGAAAGGAAAAGACAGGGTAAGGTCTAATATGGTGACCTGCTGACAATGAATTTTTCTTGAATATATTGAACTATGCCCATATTTTCAAGTGCTACCCTGACTGCTAAGCACAAACCAAAAATGGCCAAGGGTGTCATCTCACTTCTTCAAACTTAGTCCTAAATCTCTTGACATCCTGTAGTGCTTTCTGGAACACCAGTATCTAAAGCAATGAATCGTACATGTTTTCAGAACTTTGCCGTGTCACTTAGATGGGTTCTGTTCTTCCCTTTTCAGTCTTAATTATATTGTGTAAATCCAATTTTCACTTTTCCACAGTATATTTGGGTTGTAGTGTTGTGGTCCCTTCTACTCAAAGTCTGATTTCCCTGTTTCAGCTTAACAGAGCTATTTACTCTTTACCCTTGCATCAGCAGCATTACAAAATTACTAAGTCAATAAGTGCACAAGGTTAATATATATTCAAGTTACAATCTATTACACAAGTTGCATAATGAAATTAGGAGGCTGGCAAAAATACAGAATTGTTTTCTATGAGAGGGTTAGTCTGTCTGTTTGTTTTTACATGCTTGATATGTCAACAAAATACTGCTCTGTTGCTTCAGCAAGTAAAGTTGGTGATTCTGTTGCGGCTGACTTTCTAGCTGTTGTCTAATCTCCATGTGCTGCACCACAGAACTCCATTTTGAAAGTTATTCAAATAGTAGCCATCTCAGATAGACCATCTTTTCCTGAAATGAAGTTGACTTCTTAATGGCTTTATCTGTTTTTGATTTTTTTCCTCCCAAATTAAAACTGCCAAATGCCCATAGTACAATGGGCATTTATCGTATTTCATTATTTATACAATTAAAAAAACCCATATGTAAACAAATAGTGTAAGGAAAATACTGATCTTTTAACTGTAGGAATACAGAAGCCTTTGTGCCCCAATTTATTTTCTATATTGAACCTACAGTACTTGGAAAACAGTTACCTGTCAAATAAGTATCTTCAAGCTATCCTGCAGTAGTCAGCCAGGCATGTCCTCTGTGTGGACATTGCCACAGATTACTCACTAGTTTATCCACAAGAGGACTTGTTTATAGTAATGGCTCAGTCATCTGGGAAACATGATCCAGTCAAATTACAGCACATTCGTATGTCCAGTGAAACAAATCAGGAAGCAAGAAAAGATGAACATGGAAAAAGAGGAAAGAACGCAACAAAACTGCAAATAACATTTATTAGGTTGTATTAACCTTGGGTTATAACCTATTATAGCCACTATTTTGATTTCACACTTTTTAGAAAAGCATGTTTCAAACCAAACACAAAAACCGGGTATTTAAGGGTAAAAATATTCTCCAGGATTATTTGGAATCTTTCTTGTACCACACATTTTCACCACACTGGGATATTACTGTAAAACCTCCATTTCTAGCTGGCGTTTTGCTGATGGCTGGACAAGTTACAGGGACAGGCACCAGGTGGGACATTACAGCCTGGACATGGAAACTGCTGTGCTCTAGTACCACAAGAAGCACGTCTCCACAAGTTCCACCTCACTGATCTCACAAGCAACTTACTTTGGTTTTGTTGTTTATGGACAAACTACAGGAGTAAGCAACTAGAGTGTCTGGGTGGGTTAGAAAGCAGTGAGGTTCACCACATGTCCTGCCAGCACACATCCAGAGCTCCCCTTCAGAAGCACAGACCTGGTAAGGCCTCATCAAGGAAATTCCACACAAATCAGCCTAGAGCACCATCTTAAAACTAAAAGCTTAAGAATACAGTTATATTGCAGGGAATAGGGTTTGCTCCAGATGTGGGCAGATCTGTGATGTGCCAACATCTGGCAGAGTATGTAGATACTCAGTTCCCACTGCAGTCTGTGGAGCATAGGTGTTAAAACACTTTTTTGAGTCAGTCTTGCAATTAATGTGCTCTTTTCACATACATAATTCATATAGATAATGCTGGGAATACAGTGTCAGTGCATAGTTCTGACTAAATAAGCAGGGTCATTTTTTTTTTTTTTTTAGTGTTCAACTTCTAATATAATTAGAAATATTATTTAGTTTCTAAAAGGGAAAAAAAAACCCTGACCCAGAAATAAGGCCAAAATTACATTGCTGTTCAACTGCTCACCACCAGGCAGTACAGGATCGTAACAGACTGCAGAAAGGGTGACCCAGGGGCACATTTTCACTGTGGTGACAGTATCTTTCCAAACGAGTAATCCATGGTTAAATGGTTCATTTGGCAATGTGAACAGCCTTCATTAGTGACATACTACAAAAAAGCTTCAGTCAATAATAATACCATTCAACTGTGCACTGACGACCAAAAAACGCCCTCCATAAGTTGACATGAAACATCACAGAAATCGTTATTTAATTTGCATGAAAGGACTTTGTATAGCTTTTCCCCTTCCTCTAGCCACACCAAGATGTGTGAGTTGTCTTTCCACAGAATGAGGCAAGGGTAGATTTTACTCATTCTCTTCGGCACTTGTAATTCACACATTTCTCAGCAAAAAGCAACCCTCTAAAAGTCATTACCCCCCACAAAGGTTTCAAGAAACTCTTCCATGTGAAGGTCCTGCAAAGTTAAACAACTAAATCAGAAAGTTCAAGAAGGGCCAACATGTCAGGCATCCACATGTAAGTTATCATTTCTGTACACAGTGACAGCTCTTAGTTAAGAACGGTAAACCCACTGAGGAACTACTGGGTACAAAACTAAAGCTTTGTCTGTGTGATGCAATCCAGTCCTCATTTTTAAATTTATATATTCTGAAAGCAAAAGGATCTAACTCATCTTCCAAGGCATAAATCAGAGTAGGTAAATGGTTTTATACCTCTTACCAAAGTAATTGTCAATATCCTCAAAAGAACAACAAACCTGCAAAACTCAACCATCGGTAATTGTGTCCTTCCATCCAGATCAAAAGCCTCCATTGCCCACCACCTCCCTTGGGGCTTCTTCTATGCCTGTCCCCTTGGAGTACACAGGACACTCATAGCCCACACATCTGATTATCACAGGGATATCTCTTTCAGCCTTCTGATTTAGTGGGCAGATGGACCTAAGAAATCAAGGCAGAGGCCATTCCCCTGTCATGTGTCCCCTGACGCACTTTACCAGCACCTATGACGGCCAAAACACAAATATTTGCCACAAATAAGAAGCATGTCAATATACCTTTTTTATCCACAAGCAGTAAACATACTGCAGGCATGATAATATTAAATATGTGGGGAGGAGGGGCATCTAGTTTGCAAGTATATTACAGTACACTATATCTAGCAGACCATTTCTAAAATCAGCATTTATAGCTGATTTTTCTAGTAGAAGACATTACAGAATATTTTATTGCTTCCCAGATATAATTAGAAACAATTTGTTGAGCAAAAATGTTAAGATCACTTGTAAAATAAGAAAAATATGGAATGGAAAGAAAATGTTAGCTTTGGATTTTACAGTTTTCTGTTGACCAAGACACTTTTCCTCCTCGTGTATGAGTAAATACTTAGGAAAAATTGAGATTATAGCAAATTATCAGTAAAAAAATTGCAAGATTCCAAAGTTTCTCTATAACACAGTTAATTTAGTCAAGGAAAGAAAGATCCTGTTGGGGTAAATCACTACCCAGAGACTCAGCTATGAACTGTTAATTGTTATTACTAGTTGCATTTTATAAGACGTTGTTCATCATCTCTGTCACATACACCCACAATTTATCAAAAACTCTCATCCCAAGCTTCATTTTGAATTTAAAATAATTCTATGGCTCTGACCTTAGAATCAGTTTTTCATAATAATTTAAATAATGAAACAGTTGAGTGCTTTAAGTGGCTTCCATTCTTCATTCTGCCAACAAAAAGAAACTTTGAGAGATGTCTAGACATGTGCACACTGTTTATCAGCCGAGCAAGGATTCCCAAGAGTGGTCAGTGCAGACTAGATTCCTGAAGTGGCAGATGATGAAGGATCACAAATCAAGCCATAAAACATACCATGGTACTACAACATTTCACTGAGTCATAACAACTCATACTAACTGAACTGACCCGATAATATTCTATTTCAAATACTAAAACCAAAATAGAAAGCACAGTATCAGAAGTCACTGTGCTGTAATTCTCTGTTACAACCTACACAGCTATGAGATACATAAATATGATGTGCATTTCCATAATCAAAGAATTCAATTTAAATAGTTTGGAAGACCAGCTGTTAGAAGTCATAGTTTAGTTTCAAATATAAGTTCTGTTTTTCATATTATGCTATTTTACTAGCACCATTTTTTTCTTTTTTTTTTTTTTTACAGACTTCCATTTTCATCCTTAGGTATCTTAAATCCTACTTGCTTCAAAAGTCTACTCAGATTTTTAAATTTATTTTACAAATATCAGCAGGACAATCTTCCAGAAACTCCTCAGCTAACACAGATCTGCTCAAGACTCATCTACAGTAGAAAAAACAAAATCAAGTGCGAATAAAATTCAGTATTATAAAACAGAAAATATGTCCATGCATCTCATGTCAAACAATTCATAGCAGATTACATCAGGGTCTACAGTACATTTGTTTCAGGAAGACTTAATGACTGTATTATCTGCACTGGTGCAGGTTTATCAGTGACTACTTCTGTCATAGTGGTGAAGACAAGCATTAGTGTAATAAGCTGGGATGTTGTACTTGTACTGACACATCTTGTATGACCTCTGCCGCTGCAGTCTCCCTGTTCTCCTTCCGGCCATGAAGCGTCTGAAAAGCTCACCCATCTGAGCTGAGCTGCACCAACCTTCAGATCCACCCACTCATCCCTGCCACCCCCTCCTGCCCATTGTTCTGCTACCCAGATGACTGTGTCATCTGGTCACACAACTGCACGCAATCTAACCGGGAATACCCTGATTTATAACAAAATTTAGTTTTCTTACCCAACAGCACATAACCCAAACAAACAGTTCCTAAGGGCAGAAAGAAGAAAACGATCAAGTGTCCACGCCCAGGTGCTCAGCTGCAGAGCAGACAGAAAAACTGGCCATCTTACATGGGAGAAGACCTGCACTGACCACATGCTGCCTGGGAATTCTGAATGGGGATCTTCCAACAGCCCAAGCAGCACAGGAATTGCTCCACTCCAATTACAGCAGTAAGTAGGAAGATACTAATTTTACCCCAAGAGTTCAAACAAACAAGCCCCCCCAGGATCTTTCTATCATAGCTCTTTACAACTAAACGGTGGTCATGACCTGACCAGGAAGCAAATCAAAGTCACAGCAGCTTTTCACATAACTCAGCTGTTGAAAAGTCACTGCTTCAACATTTTGTCGGTATTAATTTCAAACACAGCAAATAGACACACCCTTAATCATAAAACAAACCTCCTCTTACAGGCACGCTATCAACCAAGCTCCTTCTGAGTCAATTTCCCAAGTATGCAAACTCTGTTTTGCAACCTGTCTCCAGGAGTGGAATTTTTGTTATACTTACAAGAGACAGCATGTAAAATCAATACAGCAAACAGCAATAAAACTTTGTAACTGCAAGAGAGAGGAGGGGACAAGGAGGGAAAAGTTGATATCTTTACATTTCATAGCAAAGCAGAAGATACTTCCTTAAAAGGTTTTAAAGAGATGGTTTCAGACTGGTCTTACATAACTTGTTGCTGCAACATCAATCTTAAAGGAATTTTCTTTTCCTTTCTCTTCTCTTTTTTAATAAAATTGCTTATAATAATACTGCAGAAGTGAGACTATAAGTCTTAAGATTGCAAGACATGTACAAAGTTGGGTGGTGTCAACTCCCTCAGTACTGCAATAGCATCAACAAAGGTATACTTCTTGAAATGGTTTAGTTAACCTGTCAATTAATAGTCATTTACAATAACTTAAAAAATTTCGCTAAAAATAAACTCTATTTTATATTCCTTCTTCCCAGTATAAAAACTGTAACTGATCAGGCCAAAATCAGAAATCTGAACTGACATAATGAAAAACTTCAAGTGGATCTGTAGTGTATAAATATAAGTGCTCTCATATAAGTAATTTTTCTCAGCTATACCCATCCTACTGGAGCTTTGCCAATTAGTACTTGTGCTAAGGTTTAGTAATATACTACTGAGCAGCAGTTATATTCTACTGGTAAAATAATGCTAACTTGAGTAATTAGCACTGTTATTATCTCCTAATAGCTTTCTAAGATCTCTGTGAACAACATATCAAAACACTTATTTTAGAGGGAATATTAACGTAGAAATTAAAAGGCAAATACAAAGCTCACGTATCGATACATAACATTCAAAAATCAATGTGTCAGCTAAAGAAAGCAGAGCAAATACTTCACCAAGAATTCAAAATGGCAAAAGACAGATAACAGAAGATCCTTCATAGGATGAAGACAAATGCTCTTCTCCAAAGCAATAATTAAACACTTTTAAATTAAATATTAATTTGAGTAACAAAGCAATCTGTAACAACATCAAGTAAAGATAAATGTATGTTGCCAAATTAATACTTAATTTAAATGGATGGTTCTGAGAGACTCTGCTTGTATTTGAAATAGACACTTTGCTTCTATTTGATATGTTGGCACATACATGTCAAGGTAAAACTAAACTAGTATTAAAAGAAGACAATCTGTTAGAGTACGTATTTTTTTCATTTCCTTATTTAAAAAGTTGTAAAGAAAAATTAAAAAATACATATATAAAAATCACTAAAACAAAAAAATACCCAGAGACAGAGCTGTTCCTGCACTTGTTTCACAGAGCAGTAATACTGCTCGTATAGGCTGGAAAAACTTGAGTGCTATAAGAGCAATTAACTTCTTGCTGCTGCCAATTAATACGTGACTGTCACTAGCTTTGTTTCTCCCATACAGAAGGCAGTTACGGGGTAGGAAAGCTGAAAGTACACAATGCCTATCTTTACTTGAAATGTATTTGCCGGTATCTGTTTCAGATAAGCCTTCCATGGTTTTCAGCAGTTTTATCCACCACAGATAGCATTGCTGGCTTCAGTTCTTACCGGCTGTTTAATTGTTTACCTTAATAAAACAAATATGCCATAAAAGTATTACAGTTGAGCAATCCTGAGCGGCATTTCAGTTCACTGTGTATCAGTCACCCTTGGATAGCACAAATTCAAAGCCATGACTTCCAACTCCTCCTCCATGACTTTTCATTGGTCTATATTACAAGACTTGCATAGGTAGCAGATGAAGTGTTTTCAAAAGCAATTAAACTAGTTTATTGCTGGAAAAGGACTAATCTGACCGCTGTGTCATATTCTTTCCCCTTCACCTAAAGCTGTATTCTGTGGCACAAAGTCTAACTTTGATATAATATACTGTATCAGAAAACTGAACAGACTCCAAGTTCTCTAGGACAGTGCTATATTAAAATAATAGGTTACTTAGAGTTGGAATGAGATGGAGGCCAAGGCAAACTTTAACCAGGTAATTAACCTGGAGACTTTGCAGGATTTCTTGCTGGCTGCAACTCAAGCACTGCAACTCAAGCAGCAGGGGATTAATATTTAATTCATGCCCAACAGGTTACTGCCTGGACTTGTACTGCACTGGCCTCAGCCAAGACAATCACTGCAAATACATCACACAAAGTGGCCTAATTTTAGTGAATGGTTTAGTCATTTTAAAGCATATTTTTGTAATTGCAAGGGGAAAAGAAAAAAAAGACAGTAGTGTTCTAGATACAAGAATCAATCTAATTCCTTCTTCCCGATGAATCACACATCCAGTGTTACAGGCATGGGCACACTTGGCATCATTTACTGGCGTCTTCAACTGAACTTTCTGTATTATCTCTTTCTCCCCTAAGCTCACCCTTTTTTGAACCTGCAATCGACTATTTTCACTCTCCCTAGAAAGTCTACTGCATTGCAAAAATTTTCAATGATAAATTACAACAGCTTCTGCTGTTTGGGGTTTTCTTGGTTCTATTAGAGGACAAAATATAACAAAATTTTACAACTATATATGAAAAATTCAAGTAAAGAATAGTACAAATTGATTTTACTTAGAACAAATATTTCCCGTAGGTCCTTCCACTTGTAGTTTTCCTCAACATCAGCTCACAAAGCCCAGCTAGTTCCACAAAGATATCCAAGAGTTTTTTAACAAAGTATGTTCAAGACGCTATTGCTACATTCATTTCAGTCAGGATCACAGAAATAACAATATCTATCAAACAGGTATTTTTCTGATTTGCAAATTTAAGAGGTAAAGAAAGTAAAAGAAACAAAAGGCTATGCAGGTGCAACAAGAGATACAATAATCAGACACCTTTTCAATATTTTCCTTGTTTTTCAGGACTATACATAACCTGTTGCATTCTTTTTCAGGATGTCAGTGTGATACCATATCTATTTTTTCAATTAAAAAAGAAAAGAAAGAAGTAAGAGGCAAAGCCAAAATTTATTCTTGCCCATGAACGTTATTGGGAAGTGTACACAAACTTTCCTAACCACCCACACTGTGCTATAAAAATGTCTCAAGTTCTTTAAAGCACAGAGAGCATCCAGCTGCCCTCTGCTTACACTGGATGTTCTTTTTTGTTTCAGTTTAGTCTCTTTCAAACATTTCCCAACAAACTTTCAAAGCCAAACTCTTCTCCAACTTCAAGTGCTAGCAACAAACTTCTACAAATCAGATTTTCTGAGACAATTAACTTGCACTTCCATCATACAATTGTAAATTTTTAGCACATTTGAAAGAGACACTACAGAACAGCATTGATATGATGGATATTTACTACACCAACAATAACATCCAATTAGTTGTTTTCCTGAACGGATTGACATGATCAACTCCTGCTACGCTACATTCATTTCAGTCAAACATACTACATTGCATTATATCTAACACTAGCTTAAACAAAAGATATTCTTTTGTGAGTTTTGAAGGAAACAAAGCTCTGCCAGTACAGTTTGATATCACAAGGTGAACACAGAACAACTGGGAGGGTCAAAAATAAATCACTTTTACTTAAGAAAGTGCTTGTGATACTCATCTACTTCTTCCAAACTTGTCCATCATTTTGATGGATAACAATATGCTCAGAAATGTGGATTTTTTTTTTATATTGAAATTTATCCATATAGATACATAAATAGATATTTTTACAGATACCTTGATCAGATATTCCTATTCAACAAGGTTAATAAACCTCATTATCAAGACACAAAACAAAAAACCCAACCAACTCAAAAAGCAATGACTTGTTGCCAGTCCTGAGTGGTGTACTTCTTTGACTTTGCCTGCAGAATCTACCTCATGTGGAAATTATAGGCTATGGGGAATAGAAAATAAACCTACTCACTTGACAATCTCATGCAGCATGTCAAGAAAAAAAGTAGGTGCAGGTCCTCATTAAAGCCCTTTAGACTGAAGAGATCACACTTAATTGAGCTGGAGACTCTTCAGGACAGTTCTCTAGGTAGAAAACCCTAACAGATGCACTTTCATGGACACTCAGTTATTGTCTGTTTTGCCAGTTGTTGCATTCTTAGTTCAGCCTAAGTGCAACCCACAATTTCGTGTTTGTGTGGGAAAGGAAATTTTTTTTGCTGTCTTGTTGTGAGGCTTAAAACTTGGTAACTGAGGAACTTATTGAGCTTTCTTTACAAGGTTACAAGCAACCATTTCAGTAACTTCGAATTTACTGAAGAGAACAGCTACTACATCCTGCCTTTGCATGTGTGATTTGAAACATCGTGACACTTGTTCCATTGCAATCTTTTTTCTTGGATGGTCTCAGGTCCTCGTTGCTCACATGTAATAGGCAGCATTCTATTTCACCTCTGCATACAGAAGCGCATCCTATTTCCAGGCAGAGCTGTACAATAAAGGGAATACCTTTTTCAAGAATATTGCAGGCAATAGCACTGCTAACTCCAACAGAAGTGTGTAGTAGAAGATGGCAACTTTACATTCCCGTTAAGGAGTTAGATCAGTCCCGGTCCTTCACATTCCCCTTTATTGCTGTGACAGTTGCTACCAGGCACATAGAAACTAGGAGCTTGTACTGTACTTGCACAAGGGCACACACCCTTCCCCATCTGCTGGCTTGCAAAATCTGAGGAGCTAAATGAAGATTGTGCTCCCCGTTGCTCATTTTGAGTGAACATTTTATGGGAAAGGATACATGAATTTTCCACTTCATAAATAAATTTAAAACTATATGTCAAAGATGATGATTATTTCCTATCTAAAGAACACAGTGCCTTTTCAGGCTAGGTCTGTAAGAGAAGAAGCCAGCAGCTGCTGAGCTCAGATAGGAAAACTGCAACAGACAGATTGGTAGAAAGGGTTTTGACAAAGCAGGCAAGCGAGTAACAAAAGTAAGGTTTTGGGAAGATAAATCACAGGGGATGGAGGAAGAAGGTAGAAAAGCAGATACATGAAAATTGGTCTGTCAATGGCCCCTCAGGAATGAGAGCAAAAGTACC